GTGATGGTGATGATGATGGTGATGACCATGATAGTGTTAATGGTGATGATGAAGGTGGTGATGATGATGATGGTGGTGGTGATGATGAAGGTGATGGTGATGATGGTGATGACCATGATGGTGGTGATGGTGATGATGATGATGGTGATGACCATGATAGTGTTAATGGTGGTGATGAAGGTGGTGGTGATGATGATGAAGGTGATGGTGATGAGGGTGATGACCATGATGGTGATGGTGATGGTGATGACCATGATAGTGTTAATGGTGGTGATGAAGGTGGTGGTGGTGGTGATAATGGTGATGACCATGATGGTGGTAATGGTGGCAATGATGTGTCCCTCAGTACCTCTTCTCTGATCTTTGGGGCCATATCTGAGAGCAGAAGTGTGACTGTCCGGGAGCCAGAGGACAGGAAAGACCTGTGCAGTGGGAGGTTTTCATAAAGCAGGTTTTTCTAAGGGTCTCTTTTCTCTAAGAAGATAATTGAGATGGCAGAAGGAAATCTATTGTTCTCAATGTTCTTACTGAGCCAGAATAAAAACTTGGTAAATCTTATGTCAGTCTACATTCTTCCCTCTTTTGTTTAAATTTTATTGGTCCATGAAATCCCAAAGTTTGGGAACCACTGGCTAACTGACCTAGCCTAGAAATGGATCCCTTTCTGAAACACACACACACACACACACACACACACACACGTTCGCTGCATGCTCTCTCTGCTGCTGGAATCCACAACCTCTGACTTCAGCCAGAGGCCGGCACCAATCATCTCTCAGTGCCCAACACTTCCCTAGACAACCAGCAGAGAGCTGCCTACATAAGGCTTAAGCAAGCGAGGTAATTAAGAGTAATAATAGCAGCTTACAGCCAGTCCCCAGTAGCTTTGTGAGCTACTCTGCGTAACACAATGAGGCTCAAATCCTACATATCCCTTCAGGGCCTGGAGCATATGGGGCCCCCACACAGATGTCACAGGGCTGAGCTGGCCAGATGCGTTGCCTGGCCCATGTCCTTCCTCCGTATAATCATCTGACTGCTGACGCCCTTAGCCCAGACCACAGAAGGTCCACATCCTCAGGCTCTGTCTTCACCCCATCCCCAGGATTCTGAGCTCCAGATTGCAGAGCTAAGCCCCACCCCCTATGAGTCTCCTAGTGCCTGCATGTGGGGCACAGGACCTGTCTCCCCTGTGGGCTTGATAAATGACTCGAATTGCACATATGCATGCTATAGAAGCCGGGAAGGAGGGCAGGAGGACGCAAAACATCTGGGCACATTTCGTCCAGATGCCAAACACAGAAGAGGTACATGCAGCTTGGCTGGACCAGTGCCCAGCCCAGCGATGGCCCCATGTACTCAGGCTACTCCAATGGTGTACGGTGTGTTTTCTTTGCTAATTATACAGTAGGTCACTTAGATTAGGTGGACAAGCACTTGCACTGTGCATCTACTAGGGGTTAGGCATGGCGGGTGCGGTGTGATAGAGGCCAGCCCCCACCCTTGGGCACAGTAGAGAACATGGGGACTTGGACCTCCTCCAGGGATCAGTTATTGTGGTCTAGTGGTCTGAGCCTGGGCCTGGAGCCCATCTTCCAGCTTGGGTACTCATCCTGACCCTGCCATTTAGCGAATGTGTAACTTTGTCTTGACAGCCTTACCATCTCCAGCCATAAAGTGGACACAGTCCCACCTCCCTTGCTGGGCTGGCGTGACCAGTGGGTGGCTGAGCCCAGATGACCAGACCATAGCACAGGGGAAGGACTCCATAAATGTTAGTGATGATGCAGCAGAGACACATGGAGCACAGAGAGAGAGGGACCAGCTCCCATGGGGGGAACCCCCAAAGTCCTGAGCAGGATTGGAAAGGTGGCTGGATGTGGTTGAGCCTGCAAAGCAGCACACACCCCCTCAGTGGGGTTCATGAGGGTCCAGGAAGGGAATACAGGAACGGCACTTGGAACAGGGCCTGGTATACAGTAAGTGCTCAATTAGTGTTTGCGATGACAGTGGTGATGATGATGTTGCTGTTCATGGAATTGTACATTTTGTGTTGTTGGAGCGTCGGGTTAGGGATGGGAAAGGCGTGGGGAGGCAGGTGGGAGTCAAGTACCAGAGGACCCGCCTGCACATCAGTTAATCCAGTGTTAACTGCTGTACCAGTGAGTCCTTCGAGTGTGGCCTGATGAATAGAAGTCTAATTGTTGCTCACTTCAACAGTTCAATATATGGAGACCTGGGCATCTTGTGGGAACCCTAGAGGGTTCCAGCATCCTGTAGACCCCAGGGGTCCTAGCTCTGAGCTGGGCAAAGCCGCAAGAGAGGGTAGGGAAGCACACTGGCTTCCATAGATGCCAAGCTTGGAAGAGACCCCCCCCATCATCCTCGCAATGGAATGTTCCATTCCATTGCTCACATTCCATTGGTGGGAAGTGCTCATGTGGCCCTTCCAGGGTGCAAGGGAAGCTGGGAAATGTAGTCCTGGGCTGGAATCCGCTCCTCCCATCCCCCAAAGGCAACTCCATACTGTAGAGAAGGTGAGCATGCATTTTTGCTGAACTAGCTGCCTCCAGGTGTAAAAGGAGCCGAGGAGGACTATGCTGACCTTCCTCAGTATGCTCACGTGCACTCACTTTTGAACTGGAAATGTGCTTTGGGGGTTTGAATACAAGCACGTTCACCTGGGAATGTGGATTGACCACAGAGAGGGTTACAGAAGTTACATGAGATTTTGCGCCATTTTCTTGAAGCCAATCACATAATTCCTCTGCATTTTTTCCAGAGTTTAGGAAGGAGATTGTCCGGGAGATTTTATTTGCAGGGGGCAATATCTGAACAGTAAATCACAGCCGAATTTCTTGTATTCGTGTGGTGGTGGTTTTCTCCCTCCGGCCCTGAGCAATCTGCTAAATGTAATTGCATCGCTCATATCCTGTCCCGCGAAATTTACATCCAAACCTGCTGAGTAAGAGAAGCAGGCGGAGGACTTAATTAGGAACGTGAATCACATTTGGGGTTTTGTGTGTTTGTTTGTTTTTTAGGAAAGAGCAACTATCACCAGAAAAGTAACAATCAGCATTCTTCTCCCAAAAGGCGGTCATCTTCAGATTTGCTGGAAGGCCCAGCAGCACTTGAGAATACCGTTCTGGAGGGCTCCCTGGGCCAAAGGCGCGCTGCTATTCTGACTTAAACCACAGGGCCGTCTTCTTTGCAGAGAGCCTCCTCCTGCTCCCTCCTCGAGCCCAGGACCCAGGATTCTGCCTCCGTTTTGGAATGGAGCTCCTGACTCTTCAGAAGTCGGCCGTGGGGCTCATATGCGTTCCTCAGATTTTGCAAAGTCAGCTCCCAGAACGAGACCTTCTCTTCCTCCCAGATCTTTCCCCAGGAGAGCGGGTCTGGCGCTTCGTAGGTCAGATAAATGAGAGGCCTGGCCGGCCTCGCTTGGTTTCTGCATTCGGGGTCTGTGACTTTTCTAAACAGTGTTTCTCTTCCCTCTCTGTACAGAAACTCGTGCAGACCGCAGCAAGAAGCTGTTCAGGCACTACACGGTCGGCTCATATGACAGTTTCGACGCTACCAGGTAAGATTCGGCTCTTTCTCTGCCAGGCCCCCTCTGGTCAAAGATGCTCTGTGTGCTACGGAAGCGCTGGACCCACTTGCATGCAGCCCTCGGATCCCCTTGGCTTCTTCCCTCGGTGTGTCCGCTGTGACCTCCTGCACGTGGGCTGCATTATGGAAGCCACCCTCTTCCAGGGAACTGGCCCAAGATGCGGTCTCTGCTGCCCGAGGTTTGGGGTCGGGCTGGAGCGCACCTGTGGGGTGTCCAGGAGGAGGAAGACCGGGCATTGTGGGGGAGGGGGGGAGCAGCACAGAAGCCAGAGATGACGGCAGCTGGCCACGGGAATCTTCAGGATGCCGTAGCTCTGGGGTTCCGTCTCATCTGCATCTTCCCTCTTCCTTCTGCCTCCGAGTTAAAGTCTTTGTACGAGAAAGGCTCATCCCCCTCGAAAGGCGTGGCATCGGGCAGGCAGAGCCTTTGAGCACAGCAGGTTTGCTTTCTGGCTCCTGTTCAAAAGGGGGGTTGTTTGGTGCGTGGGGAGAGCCATGGAGCTTTGGTGATGCGACATGGGGCACGGGTTCCAGCTTCCCCGCAGACACTACACGGGCACGAGATGTCCTCGGGTCTCTGGCACCTCCTCCTTATAACCCCGCGGCGGGCCGAAGCAGGCTGGGGTCCTGCCGGCCGAGGGGACCAACAGCTCGGAAACGAGCTGCATTTCCGTCCAGTGTCCCTGCAGCTACTTCTGCTTCTCCGGCTCTTCCTGTCCCCATGCGCCGAGTTTCTCTACCCCTCGTTTCTGTCACAAACGCAAGTCTCCCTACATCAGGGGCCAGAAGGGTGTGGAGAAAGAACCTTAGTGGACGGTGGCCTCAATGAGAGTTAGCATGTGACGCAGAGAAAGGGAGGAGATGCAGGCCATGAGACCCGCCGGGACAGGAAGGTCCTGCTCCTAGCCCTGCTGGCCGGCCGGCCCTGGGGCCCTTCCTGAGAAACCCACCAAACCACGTCCTCCATTAGGGCCAGGCTGGGAAGGGGTCTGGACACCCTGCCCTGGGCTCTGCCCCGCCACCCCCGGCCCCCGGGCAGGTCTGTGATAAGCAGCGCAGACTGTGCTCGGCACACTCAGCTGCCTGTGGGGGTCCAACCTGCTTTCCTTCGTCTCTGTGCTTCTCCTGAGTTAAAATTTACATCACCTAGCTACCATTTCCAAGTGCGCGGTGGTGGCTTTGGTACGTTCACAATATTGTGCGGCCAGCACCCTATCTAGTTCTAGAACGTTTCCTTCCCCCGAAAGGGAGCTCCTAGTGATTAAGCAGTCAATCCCGATTCTCCCTGCCCCCATCCCCAGCTCGCACCAACCGGCTCTCTACATGTTTCATGGAAACGGAGTCCTACAACACGTGATCCTTCATGTGTAGCTTCTTTACCTAGAATAATGTCTGCAAGGTTCATCCATTTTTAGCAGGATCAGTACATCTTTTCTAAACCTTTTATTGTAGTAAAATTTACCATCTCAACCATTTTTAGGTGCACAGCTCAGTGGCATTAGGTACGTTCACGTTGTTGTGCGGCCGTCCCCGCATCCATCTCCAGAACTTTCCATCTTCCCAGACTGAATCTCTGTCCTATGAAACACTCACCCCCGTCCCTCCATGGCCCCCACTGGCCACTCTCTGTCCCCCTAAAACACTGACCCCCATCTCTCCCGTGGCCCCGGCGCCCACCGTCCACTCTTTCTCTGAATCTGGTGACTCCAGGGACCTCATAGAAGTGAATTATACAGTATTGGTGCTTTTTGTGACTGGCGTATCTCAGCATAGTGTCCTCCAGGTCCCTCCGTGTTGTAGCAGGTGTCAGAATGTCCTGCCTTGTTAAGGCGGAAGAATATTCCATCATCTGTGTAAGCCATATTTTGCTTGCCGTTCCTCTGTGGATGACACCTGGGTTGCTTCCATCTTTTGGCTCTTGCAAATGGTGCTGCTGTGGACATTCTCACCCAAGTATTGGTTTGCACACCTGTTTCCAGTTCTTTGGGGTGTATATCTAGCAGTGGAATTGCTGATAGGACCTGGTGTTAGTGCTGACCTGTCCCAACCACCTGTCTGTCATAAACAAGAGGTGTTAGGACAGGAATCCCACACCCAGCAGAGGACCTGGGTCGTCCCCTCCTAAGGGGCCTGGCCGACTTTCCAGATCTTGCTAACATTGCCCACTTTTTGACCTTGAATGCTCAAGTCACGATCCTGGCCTGGCCACCAACGCAGCCCAGAGAGAGACTGCTCAGGGTCTGGTGGCTTCCAGGGAGCCACGCCTGACCCTGGCTTCTCCTGATGAGTCTCTCTTTGGGTCAGATGAATTGTTTCTGCAGCAGCAAGAGGCTGCCTGTCAAAGTGGACCCTGGACACGTGGTCACAGCCAGTGTGCCTGTCATGCTTTGCTTCCATTCTAAGAAGGAGGGTGCCTGAGGCTCCGAGAATGCCCAGAGCTGTCGCCATGGTTACGTGGAGGGCCATCCAGCCTGGGAGGGGGGCTTCTGGGGAAGAGCCCGTGAGAGCCATGGCTCGTCCGCAGGCTGTGGTTTTGCAAAACTCTCTCCCCCCAAGGCCAGTTGCTGGCAGAGGGCCACCAGCGGGCTGCCCTGGGTGTATACGTGTGCATGAAGAGGGGTGTGCGCAAACTCTCAGCGTTTGAACCAGGCGGCTTCCCCACAGAGGAGCTGTTGAAGGACCTGAGTTGACTGAGCCAGGGAAAGAGAAGACCACGGGGCCAGGCTGGCTAGGTTGCATTTCATGTGGCTGACAGCAGGACCGGAACGAACCGGGGACACACGCTGCAGCTTGGCCCACAGAAGGCATGCGGAGACATCATCACTGTTCAGAGATAGAACAGAGCTGTCTCAGGAGGTGATGAGCTCCCCGTCATTGCAGGGAGTCAAGCAGTTTGGGCATTCTCTTTCCAGAATGTCTTAGAAAGTTGGACCAGGTGACCTGGGAGATCCCTGCCGGCTCTGCCCTCCCTGTGTTTTGGTGCCCAGATGAAGACTTTGATTTCATAGGTTACTGACCACTGGCTTGGTGCAGTCCCAGGGCTGCACAGGGCCTGGGACCATTGAGAAGAGGGACATCCAGCCACACCCAGGTCAACAGGTGGCTTCTAAACAAATGATAAAGGCTCTGGGCTTGACCGCGGTTCAGGAGTCAACCCCCACCTTCCCAGGGTGGGGGAGTCAGATGCGCTGTGGGCTCACGTTGCCCAGAAAGAGATGTGAGTGATCATAGCGACTTTTATGAGACTGAGCGCTACCAACTGCGCTAACAAGGCACCTCATAGCGACTTTTATGAGCCCCCTGCCACGTACCAGCGGCACCTCGCCTTGATCGCGGCTGCTGCCTGCCCACCCTCCAGTGACCTTGGAAGTCAGTGTCATTATCCACTTCACAGGAGAACACTGTAGTGGAAGGAGGAAGGTGACATTAAGGACCTGGCCCTCAGCCACCCGGTCACCTGGAATACGGGGCCCGTGCCCGCAGCTCCCCCCGTCCCGCGGTGAAGATGTTACTGCCCGAGGCTGACCGTGGAACTGGCCTGGGATTGGGGGAAATTGGCGGAGACTGAACCATCACTTGGTGGAGTGTGTCGGGCGGATGGAATGAGGATATTACCTGGGTTATGGGGTCTGGGCTTTTCCACACAAGGTGCAGGGGTCGGCCTGGGGCAGCCCCTGCCTCCCAGAACTGACCTCTTCCAGACCGCGCACTGGGCAGGGGCGAGCGAGCTTGTGGCGCCCACCGGCCATCACAACCCAGCGGCTGGCCTGTGTGGCTCTTGAGTGGGTGTCGGGGTGAGGCTGGGCCCTGGCTGAGGGCCGCACATGCTACTGTACGGACCAGCCAGCGGATCATTAGCCCATTTCGGAATTCCTGTCAGACCCGGCCTAGTGAGCCACAGAGATCTGGGGTGACGTGCCAGCAGGCGGGCCAATTACCCGCTGTAGGCGGCAGGGCGACGGTCTGGCCAGGCAGCTCACAGCTGGGGCCGCCCCATTGCAGATGCAAATGTAATTAAAGAACATGCAATAGGTAGCGAGACTCAATGTAGACAGTTTCTGAATCAGTCAGGAGGCGGTTCTCCCCTTCCCATCCCCTCTTCTGTCAAAAGCTTTGCTCGGGGATGCAGAGCTCAAGACCAGTCTGACAAAAACACACCTGTTGATTGTTGAATGTGTCCAGTGACTCCAGCCCTCCACCCACCCAGCATGCACACCACAGAAGGGTCTAGAAATGTGGGCACATGGTCAAGATCAGAAAGCAGAGACCCTGGGGCCATTTCTACATAGGACCTTACAGATATTTCAGTGTTTTTTTTTTAAAGATTTTATTTATTTATTTGACAGAGAGAGACACAGCGAGAGAGGAAACACAAGCAGGGGGAGTGGGAGAGGGAGAAACAGGCTTCCCAAGGAGCAGGGAGCCCAATGCAGGGCTCAGTCCCAGGACCCTGGGATCATGACCTGAGCCAAAGGCAGACGCTTAACCAACTGAGCCACCCAGGTGCCCCTTCAATGTTGTTTTTAAAACACTTCTTAACACAGGGTATGGGAGTCTCAAGTTCCCACGAGTTTTAAGTCAGATCTCTACCCTCATTAGCATGGGGCGTGCAGGAGAAGTCTACCTGGGAGAGGAAGGGGAGACCTCAGGCTCTCACTCTAGGCTGAATACGCCCCATCCATCTATACACCCATCCATCCAACCATCCAATTACCTGTCCACTCGTCCATCAACCAGCCATTCAGCTGTCTACCAACTCATCCAACCAACCAACCATCTACCCATCCATCCAGCCATCCATCCATCTATCCATCCATCCATCCATCCATCTACCCATCCACCCATCCATCTGCCATCCACCCATCCCCTCCTCTTATCTGTCTATCCATCTATTTAACCAATATTCATCAAAACCCGAATATTCAGGGAGCTACGGATGTGGAGGTAAACAAGACAAGCACAGTCTCTGAC